CAGGCGTTTTGGCGTACCTCAGTGCAGCAGCTTTTTATGGAAAATGCCACTGCATTACTTCTGGTATAAGAAAACTTCGCCACACCTAACTACTAATTTGGAGGGCCAGGAGACTCTGTTGGTTAGGCCTCTACCCAGTGACCGACCTGGTATGAGTGACTGCGAAGTTCGCATGGACTCCCCTAGTTTAGCTTAACGGGTCGTAGAGATACACATCACACCATGGTAAGAGCGTAGAGGAAACAGTCATTTGCCATAAGATTGCTGAAACAAAATGGAGAAGTAACCTGATGGCCTCACCAGGACTCCAAATGTAGGTATAAGGCGAAGTGTTCTAGAACAGCCTATTCGGTATGCATTCGGTATGGGAGAGGCTGCACCAGCAGCTTATACAAGAAATGGTTAGGTTGCGATATTGAGTGGTCTTCTTAGATGAGGCGAGTATTTTCTTACCTTCATCGGTGGAACGGGACACTCTGGCTGAGCTCAATCTCTTGATGTCGTCCCGGAGGCACGTTGACCGGAGAATAGAAATAGTTCATGTTTGGACAAGATCCAGCTGGTCCAAATAGTCGTCTTGCAGCTAGCGGTGCCTGAGAAACACAGCTAGCTGAAGCAAGATATCGTGTATGCACAAGCAAGTTTGAGGCATCAGCGAAAAAAATGCACAGCCCAGTATTTCAAGTCACGGACCACAGCAAACTAGATACCACGAGCGAGGTGGATAACTGGGACGGGCAATTATGCACAGCACTCTGATGGGCTAGTCATGCACAAGCCAGGAAGCGTGCACATTCCGATTGCATTTTTGCACAAGCTAAAATTGAGGCGCTCAGTATTTGCATAAAGGAATTGAGTTTTCGACGTGCCCTTGTTGGATTAAGCAATCATCCACCTCAGCTAGGTGTACAAGTTTAAAATTTTGAGCCCAATTCAGGCATCCCGCGGTCTGAGCGATGCTGAGAAATTATTGCAACAGACTTTCCCGTGTGATTGCTTCTGATGCCTGGTGGTTTTGCTCACAGGTGATTTCCGGAGACCGGTCGCACGGATCAACTGAAATAATTTTCGAGCATTACCGGCCTTCTGTGTCCACCACACTTCACACTTGGCTCGTATGCTCACTTTCACTTGATGTCTGATAATTCTTCGCACCGGGTTATGTCCGGGACTAGCTGGGATATTTCTCCGAGATTTAAGCAGTGCCACCGTTCAGTCTGATATCCAGTGCTTGCGTGCGCCTGTTTGGGCCGTGCCACAAGCACAATTTCGGGCACTATACAGAGAGGTGGCCATCACGTCCCAGTATGCGTTCACATCTGCTGGTGGAGCCTTTGGAAGTGACTCTAGAGGACGCTTCTGGTAAGTTGATCTAACATCCGGATCAACCAGTCTCTCAGTTGCCATGCGGCTTGTCCTCAGCGGCCCGGAAAATGAGTTAACGAGTACATGGTCGGAATCCACAGATGCGTTCCGAAGCGATCGACGGTTATTGATTCGTCGCATCGGTGTCGTATGGTAGTGTGATCGAGCTGTATACTCACACGTCCGGAAGTCTGAGAATACAAAGAACATACTATGTTTACAAACTTCTTGGGCATTTCTTGGTGGGCAAGCACCTCAAAAAGAACAGACCGATCAACCAAATCGAATGCTCCTCGGAAATCCAGGAATACTAGAATTGTGGATCGCTTATACGTATGGCGTTGTTCTAGTACCTGACGAAGTGTGAAGATTTGGTCAACGCAACCCCTACCAGGCCGGAATCCCGCTTACTGCTCTCGAGTAAGTATTTCACAAGCCACTGTAAGGCGACGAAGTACAATTGATGCCAACAGTCTCGTTACGACCGACGTCAAGCTGACCCCCATGTGGTTACCACACTGATTACGCGCCCCTTATTTGAAAATAGGCACTATCACCAATTCTCCCAGTTGTCTGGGACAGACTCCTTTTCCCAAATGCCAGCAAACAGACCAGACAAGCGACTTTACCCCCGTCTTTGAACAGTGCGGGTGCAAGGTCATCCGGACCAGGAGCTCGGTGGTGCTTGAGAGAACATATGCAGTGGTGGATCTCCAAGGATGTAGGTGATTTCACGTTCACCGTCCAGGGTTCTACTTCACCTGTGGGCTGTAGATGAGTGCCGGCTGGTGGCCAGGACAGTTGTTGTTCGAAGTATTCAGCCCACCGGTCGAGGCGTTCTTCTTTATTCGAGATGATTGTTTCATTCTGATGCTTGATGGTTTCACTCACAGGTGGTTTTCGGGGACTGGTTGCACGGACCAACTGAAATAATCTTCGGACGTTATCGGCTTTCTGGGCCTCCTCCATTTGTTTGGCTTTCTGTGTCCACCATACTTCACGATCGGCTCGTACGTTCACTTTCACTTGACGTCTGATGACTCTTCGCACCTGGTTATGTTCGGGACCGAATAAGATATTCCGAGATTTAAGCAGTGCCACCGTCCAGTCTGATATCCAGTGCTTGGTTGCGCCTGGTTGGGTCGTGCCACAGGCAGAATTCACAGCACTATGCAACGAGGTGGCAATCTCGTTCCAGTATGAGTCCACATCTGATGGTGAAGCATTTGGAAGAGACTTTAGGTTTCACTTTGAACCTAGGTGACTGATGCAAGATATGCGGCCGAGATACTGTCTTAGTATATTCACCTGAAATCCTTTGGTAAGTCGAGAAGACTGCCGTTGTATTCGGTATGGTTCTGTAATAACAACAAATAAACAACGGTTATTGATTGGCTAGAAGTGTCAATGATTAATACATAGCAGTCATTCAATACGAACGTACATTCAACATTGTACCACAGGTCTTTGAGCAGCTCCGATGTAAACGTCAAGGAAAATATAGGTAAAGTTTATAGTCCAAACAGTGTCTGAAATCTGGAATGAGAGTCATGAAGTGTCGGTAGGTCTGAAGGAATCAACAAACGTTCACCGAACGTTACACTCCCCCCCCCGGAATCGACAACTGAGTTGGATCGCTACTTGGTGGAGTGTCATGGATCTCAATGTTTCCTTCGAGCTTGCATAAGTGACGCACGTCTCTGCTAACACGACCAGCGGCTGTTCGGATAATCGCCTCACGCACTAAGCCGTTCGATCCTTTGACGATATTCTCAATGATGGCTTTCGACCACTGACATCTGGGAGCTTTTTTGTCGACAATCAGAACCAAGTCTCCTGGCTGAACATTTGGATGAACTCGTGTCCAATGTTGGGTCAATTGCAGTGTCGGTAGATAAAGCTTCAGCCGTTTCTTCCAAAATATATCCGCTAACTTTTAGCCTGGCGCCATCTTCGGTTAAATTTCCGACATGGTGTTTCCTCCGGAACGAGCGCGTGGTCAGAGTCCACAAATGTGTTCCAAAATGACAGGCAGTTAGTTGTTGATCTGCGCCATCGGTAACTGGTGGCAATGTGGTCGATTTGAGTTTGTGGCCGGCCTGCCGGTGGAGGACACCAAGTGGATGGACCATTTCGGCTAGTTCGGAAGTTAGTACTGCTTAAAAATAATCTGCGATTAGCACGCAGCTGAAGGAATCGTTACCCATTGTCCGTACGTACCGAGTCCAGTCCATGTCGACCTCCTAATTGAGTCTCAGATGCACTAAGCATGCCCACTTGTGCATTCATATCTCCGGCAACCACCACAATTTCCGAGCTTTTAGCTCGCCGCAGCAGGGCATTTAGGGCGTCGTAAAACCTGTCTTTGACGGCGTCGGAGCTACAGTCAGTTGGGGCGTAGGCAGACACGATAAACAGACATCTGTCAACTAATCGCTTGTGAGACTCTTTCTCAGACGTTGCCATACGAACCGCATACATGCGACTATCAACAGGTATCCAGTCAAGTAAGGATACTTCCGCCCGGTGACTTGGCACGATATCAACCCCTGCACATCCCGCCGCAGCAGCCTCTGGACCACCAGAGGTGCGCACTCAGAACCGATGCATGACGAACGGAGTCGTCAGTCCTAAGTGCTGGGCCTACAAGGAGAGAGTTATAATGGGATGAGGAAAGGGGGAGGAAAGAGTATGTGAAAGAGAAAGAAGGGAGGCGTCAGCAGTGGCCTGTTTTTGCTTACCCACCCTGGTGTATGCAGCAAGTAAGGCGACCCGGCTGATGGCACCACGCGACGGGCGACGTGGCATGAGAGTATTGTTAGTTGTGGATGTCATGGTTGTACGAGGGCTGGGATACTGCCAGGGTGCCCACACCTAGACAGGAGGACGATTAGGGTCCTTAACCAAAGCATTTGGCTCAAAAGCCTAACCGCAAGCCAGAGGTGTTTGGCGGGAAATGCAAATGCATTACTGAACAAGTCACATCACCTGTAGCGTAGGTTTGACATCCGAATCTCCGTCAGGAGTCGAGTCTACAGTGCTGCGATGCGCTCCCTTTTATTACACGTGTCAGAAAGCTGGCCTCTAGGTGTAGGGGTTGTCAAGTGGCTTTCAGTGTTGGACCATCGATGTCTTCTGAGTATTGACCGAGTTCGGTGGGAACACTGGACCAGTGATGATGAAGTAGGTCGAATGGTTTTCGGAAGAGAGAACTCACTCACGAAAGATTAATTGATCACACTCCACAGGTTGCGCTGACTTCGTCACATTCTCCGTATGCCGACCGACTTCCTCGAAGGGTTCTTTGTGGAGAACCACACGAAGGATGGAAACGAGCCAGGGGAGGTCAAACAATGACTTGGCAGCTAAGCGTGAAAGCCATTATTAGCGAACAGCTTCGCTGGTCATTTCAGGCTTCCCGAATGAGGGCCCCGACGCGGATACATCAGCGGTTGGAGACGTCAGACATGGCCCAGTCGGGCTCTCTATGGCGCTGGCGCATCCGAGCTATTGCCTTCAATGCATAGCTTCTTTTCCAATCTCCCAGTTAAAAGTTTACTTACAAACACTTACTCACCTTACTTACCTAACTTACTTACTACCTTACCTTACCTTACCTTCACTTACCACTTCCAATGCGCAACTATCTACCCCATCTCCCTAGTCCATCGGTGAACGAAGCTGTGGCAGCTAGAGCAACTGTGCAACAAGTACGCTATTCCTACAGCTAAGAGGGTCGGCTTTGATTTCTCAGCACCTAACACACCAGTTATGTGCTGAAATCGTCTGTTCCTGGCTAGTTGACCGTATCGGTCGGTATAAGGCACGGCTATTTCTAGTCGCGAAAGCCTTATTCATCTAATGAGCTTTTGATGTCCGCCAAAGCTCTCGATCTTTCATTAAGCTACTCAATATTTGGTGTTTGAGATATTTGAGGGCGCCTTCGTACTCGTAGGATGCTGGTATACATTCTCTGGCATCAATCAGTGCTAGCGATTTTAGGAGATTGGTTTCAATATTACACGTTCAACCACATCTTGATGATATAGTTAACTTTTCCTAGATATAATAAAATGGATTGACCCTTTAAAACCATCACTCCTAGTCGATTCTTCTACGATTTATCTCTCTGGCCTCTTCTAGGGATTTGATATAAGCAGTTTCAGGGAACTATTTAAAAATGGTCTCTTTTGGGGACTCACCTCTCTTAAGAGTGGTCTGTTCAGAGAGTGACAGCTGTGCCCCCGACAATGAGCTCCTCTCTCCACAAGAAACCACCCGTTGGGTACATAAAACTGTTTTTGATCTGACCTGTCCTGATCTGGTTTGTGATACGTCTCCCCTGAACGTTGGGGAATCGAGATATTGTGATCGGTTTGGTTGAACCCATAATGACGGGACCCAATAGGTTTGGTAAATATCTCCGGGGAAGTGACTAAAAACATCCATCCCTGGATAATTCTCTAAACGCTACAGGTATACTGTACGTCCGTTGGTCCTTAACCGAATTGACAAGCTTTTGTAACCATGCTACTCAATCAGTTAAGACAGGTTTTTCGTGTCTTACAAGTCTCCCGAATCTTACTGCCCCTTCGATAGGTTAAAAAATCGTTCTCCTATCTCAACTAACGGGTGCGAGCACGTCGGTTGACAGGCAGTGTTCATACCTATGTCGGCCATGGCCTTCATAGTCCACGTGTCGGACGATACGGCAGATCACTGTACACTTTCAAACACTTCGAAGAATGAATCTTATAATCTCCGGATACTTTTGCATATCCTTTTCATAATTTTGCTTGCAACAAAGCTCTATTTTGAGCATTTTCTTGGTAAGTTAGTGCTACTGGTTTGAGCTTTGGGTTTTTAGAAATTTTGCTACTGCTTTGGTTGTTCGCCTCCACTTTATACGTTCATAAGTCCATACGGCAGGGTATGTCCGTCCGTTTGTTACACTTGTCTCTCGCTATAGATGTCTTCAGCAGATGCCATGACGAGCGGGTCTATGACTGCCTGTTGTCCTCTTCAGTTGCAACTTGCTACCTAATTTTTCTCCATTTTTCTCTTGGAGACAGAGGATTGTATCGAATGTGAGTCGATGTTCGTTCGGTAACCGTTTCACAGCTTCGTTTTCCTCCCTCCATATTCTGCTATGGATGATTTGTGGTTCGTCTTCTGGACTTGTGCATTAGTGGACGGAACCATGAAGATTGTTTCATCACTTTGCAAAAGCTTATTCGTAATCATTCCACGGCGTAACCTGTCAACATACAGATTGGTAAGTTTATGCTTTTGTTTCATTTGTGATGTTGAGATTTGAATGTTACCGGATGAATGGTTGTGAGACTCAGGCCGCAGAGGTGGAGTTGGTTGAGGTATCCCACCTTGAGCCTTTAACTCAAAAGTCTGATCCACAAGGTGGTGGGTGGATGTAGGGTGTTGTTCTGGAACCCTATCTCTCTAACTCAAAAGTCTGAACCACGAGGCAGCGGTTGTTGTGGCTTTCTTGGGAAACCTTCTCCGGAGTCAATGAATGAATGGTCTGACCCACTTGGCCTCAAGGGGCCTACCTAGTCCAAGGACTAGGTAGGAGTAAGGCGCAACTGGCCGGTTGCTAATGTGGCTGAGCACATTAGGTACCGTCTTAGCAACAGGGGACTCTAGTTTTAAAGGTATTTCGCTCATATTGAGCATTGCGCCAGCAGTCGCAGTCAACCGTTGAGTAGTCGGGGAGTGGAGTTTTTACAGCCGGTCTTTTCTAACTGGTCCTTCTTCGGGATAAGGCCACACCGCTGCTTCCATGAATATGGATGTGATGGTTGCCTGGGGGAAACGCTTTACTGTCTTCACATTCTTATCACGGAGGACAGTACGACTTTAACTACAGACCTCGTGGTACACACGATTACTCACTGTTGGTTTGACACTAGCCTTCCTTGTATGGTTGGACCCTGGGGAACTGAATTCCAGCTAGTGTAACCAGCGGGATCATTGCAACACAAAAGCCCGGGGACCACTACAAGCTGACAGCTTTAGGCCAATCAAAAATCTTAAAATATTTGGATGGCTTTTCGAAAGGAAGGAACCATAGTCCAGGAATGAGCTCAACATAAATGGGCCAATGCACTCCGAATTTCCAGTGAATTGATGTAATCACAGTTTATTGCTAAGAGGCTTATCTCATCGGTATATTGGCCCCTTTATGCTAAGTTCACTCTTTGTCCATAGCCCTATCCTCCCTTTCGAAATTTCGTTCAAATGTTCTCAATAGTATTGACCAGTAGTAGTGTCTATCTCTAGGGTACATACTGACCGTCTTTTGCACTGATATCCAGCTCTTTTTACAAATAAGTGGTCGCCGAATACTTTTCAGCGTTCCGTAGCGTCGAATAGCAAGCTCCTGCAATCAGGAGAAAACCCACTGAGTTGTCTCTTTTTGTTCAGATTGAACCTAGCTGAACTGAGGTGCTACAGGTATATTCCGTGTTGTTCGGTAGAGCTGCCTGACGCGGCAGCCCAGGCTGTCTTTGTAGTTTACCAGGATAAAGAGTTCATCAACACGCTATCATATTTGCATAGACCAAGCAAAGGAAGGATCACATGTACCCTATTCCCTTCTGCCACGTCAAATTCTGTCCACCTCTTTCACCACTTCGGAAAACAACGATCTTCCCGGTAGTGTAGCACATCGTCCAGCAATCCTAGCTTCCAGTACTGGATGCGTTCTTTGAGGGAACTACCCTTCGCTTCAAAAAGACTGTCTCCTGATTACTTCAGTGTGAATTTGTCGAGTCCAGTGGGTTGTGGCAATAGTTTTGACATGGTCAAATGCCCCAAGGTGTTTCAGATCTTCCACCCGAAGCGGCCAAGTTTCGCATCCGTACAACAAAACAACCCGTACTGTAGTCTGATACACGCGTCCTTTGAGACCTGATGAGATGGCTTTCTGAAGAGTCGTGCTTCGAATCCACATATGTGTTCCAGAAGGAGCGAAAAGCATTAATTGACTTACGTTAACTGTAGCCAATGGTAATATGGTTTGTCTGTATTGGCGTTTGGCTTGCATGCTGGGGACACAATATTACCAAGCGGCTTCGGTTGTTTCGGAAGTTGGTAGTTCACAGAAACAGTCCGTGGTCGCACATAACTTCAGCAGGCTCTCGTTGTTGTCCGTGCTTCTTGATTCCAGCTCAAGACGACCACCCAGTCGAGCCCTAGGAGCGCTAAGTCTACCTGTGTTGAATCTAACTTGACCTTATGATGATCTCCCCATTCATTTGCTTACTCCGCCTATGTACCTTTGATCTCCAGTTGTTTTGCTTATCTGTGCCTGCTGCTCACCTTGCCCCAGAAGCCGTTCCATGCGATACTTGTGTATTGGCATGTGTGTCTAGGTGAATGTGCGTAGCTGACCCACTCACCCATGCGTTCTCGTATCCCGTTTGCCGGCCTTGAGCTGCGAAAATATGAAAGTAGATTAGGATAGTTTTTTGTTCGAGCTCATACGCAACAAAATGCAACATTTTGGCGCAAAACTTTTATTCCCTTCACAATGATTTGGTATTGTGCGGCTAATTGGCCCCACTGAACCATCATTTCGGTCGCCGTTGTTTGGTGTGCGGACGTTGACACCGCACTGTGCTGGTCAGTGACAGACCTGGACACTTGTTGACGTTACGGACGTGGACAATTGAGGTTTGTTGTACACATTTGCTCACCCTTATGTAGGGGGGCGAAACAACTCAATGGTTTGAGCGCGAATTTACTGACCAGAAGGTCTGTGCTTCGAACCCGATCTCCGCCTCTCGATTCCTTCTGTGTAGGCTTGGGTAACCAGACAGAGTCTCAGCCCTCGTGCTTCCTTCGGATGCCATGGCAGCTCGGTCCTGAAAGGGTGTTACAACTGAACGATTCTTAAAATATTTTTTACCCTTGTGTAAATAGTACCGTAGGATTTCGAACCCAATTCTTCCTTTCGATATTCGGGATTGTCGAACCTACGCGTCACCCCAAGTTCCGTATCGGGAGTCTCAACAACCTGCTTGCGCATTCGTATCTCCAACAACCACAGCAATACCTGAACCCTTAGCCCGCCGCGGCAAGGCACTCAAAGCTTCGTAAAAGCTGTCTGTATGAGAGCTGCAGTTTGTGGGGGCGCAAGCAGGTACGGTGAATAGACAGCGATTATCGGCTATAAACCATATACCAAAGTTGGGTCAGTTTCGTTCACTCGGAATCGGGCGAATGAGGGTAGGGTGGCCTTCTGGTGATCTTGAACAAGGCATGTGTGCGGCGTTTCTCAAAGTCTTTGCGCCGAACCTGTGCCAGTCAGTTAGGTATGATTTACCGGTATACAAGAAGCCCTTCAGTAATAGATTCAGGACACGCATTCGCGCCTTTTCTGGCACTTCGTTCCATGGGGTTTTGTTTGATTGGATACCCTGAGTATGTTGTACCACATAAGAGGAACAGTAATATTGATCTATACCTGGTCGCGGCAAAAGCACATTGAAGCTAGGTCGAATGAGTCCACCTCCACGCATGGATTCATGGCTCGATGGGAAACTTCTTGGCCTGTCTACAACTTCACGACATTTGGGAATTGCTGTTGTGCTTAAAAATGACTGTTAATTATTTTTTGGTCTTTTTTTAACGAATCGTGCTTATTTAAGAGTAGTCCGTTCGCGCACGCCGCGACCCTGCACGTTTGTTGCACAGACTATTGGTTTGTTCTTATTTCCATGCTTGGCAACAGCCCCACGCAGACTTGGTCTAAAATCGGACACTCATTTTGAGCCTTTATTGACATTAGTGTGGGACTCAAAAGAATATCCTTTTTATGATGACCTTCAGTTGATCATCACTTCAACACCATTCCACTTTGCAAATGAGTTCAACTCCGCATGGGTCCGATATGGTGTTTGGGCACCAAGTGAAATCTATGGAAATCCAAGGTGCGTGTGGTCACCCCCCCCCCCAAAAAAAGCGAAGCCAGCAGTGCCGTCGAAGAGCTTTCGTAGACCTCACACGCAGTGCTGTAAGGAAGGGAGCGTTCTACTCCGTTCCGTGTTTTTTATGGGAATTCCGTTCAAAATAGCCTTGTGATTCTGTAGTCACTTGAATCCAGTCTGTTAGCTAATGGCAATTGTTAGTATTACGGCGTTTAAAAGGTATACGACAGGGTTTCTGGTACCTTTTCGTTGTCCAACAGGGAATCGCTTGATTACTATGTTCCTAGTGTACTAGCTAGCTTCCGGTGTCTTTCGTTTAATTGGTTGCCCTCGGTGCACCCTCAGAAGTTACGAAGTGACAGCTGATTTCTATCCGGGACTTGCATACTAGTCTCCACCACAATACACGCACTTTGTCATTGTATTGGTGCCTCCACCTATACGTTCTATTCACTCGACATCGTCCCACATTTTTCTTTCTAGGGCACGGTATTGGTGACTTTGGAGTGCTGCTCATTAGTGATTCGGAACATCTATCCTTGTTTTATATGGATTTTGTTCTTCACCGAGATCAATGGATCGTATCAGAGTCCTCTGTTCCAGAAGATACTGTTGACAATGTTTTACTGCGTACTGAAGGTAGGTGATCGTTGGAAAGCTGGTGTACTTTACCGCCATTGGTCCTTAACGTGCTCTCATGATGTTACTTGAACCTGCGTGTTCTTACCAGAACAATGGCTTCAGTGGCTTCAGCGAGCACCGAAGCTGGAGAAAGCCCAGTTAGTGTTCAGAGTTTTGTCTATCCTCACATCGTTTCTCATCTGTCTAGCTGCGTTAATCCCCCTCTCTATCTCCCACTTGCAGATCGGATCGTTTGTGTACTGTTTGCGTTCACTAAAGCAAGTATGGCAAAGTCTCTTCGCTCCCCCGGTAAGCTGTCTGTATTTAAAGAAAGGCCTTTGAAATGATGTGAAGTAAACGGAGAGGTAAAACAAGTCCATATGGTTCAGCCGAAAGAGCAAGCGATTGCGCCGGGTTTCGAGCTCGCGTCCCTCAGCTTACGAAAAGGGTGCTGTACCAACCGAATTACAGAAGACGCTGCACAGCGCATTGTGTTACCAGACTTTTGTTCTTTGTGTTGATTAACTTTTGTGATGGAATATGTGGGCTTTTGAACGTGCCGTATTCTTGCCTTCAAAGAAGGACGCACATTAAGACCTAATTTCTCTTCTTTATTGTGACCGAACTGCTTCATATCTGATCTGACAGTGCCAGTCCAGATCTTCAGTCCCCCTTGAGACAGCGCCGCCACCATAAGTATAGTGAAACAGACAAAACAAGATGACGTTTTAGATGAGCTTTTTACGAGTCTGTAAAAAAGCACAAATTCTTGGGAGAATTACCAATTTGGGACTGGGTCGCATGTTCATGGGTAAGGGATTGAGACTATAGTGGCTCATGTAGATATGAACTCCAAAACTCCACATTTAAAAGGCCGGGGGTGATACACAAACCCAGAAGTCCCATAGTAGGATTTGACGTAAACATAATGAGCAAGCGAAACCATCGATAGGAACTCATGGTTAATCAGTCCATTGTAGCGTGAGATTCATTGAGGCAGATGGTGGTTTGTTCGTAATTTTGGCAGAAATCCTTGGATTGTGGGAATTTGGCCTTTGCGTCTGAGACCGATTCCCCAATAATTTCCGCCTGCAGTTTTGTCACTTTTTCTGATTTAGCAGCAAAGTCGGGATGTGCCGCTCAGGATGAGCAGTCTGCATCTCCAAAGTAAAACACAATGGTGCATGTAGAGGCTGATGGACGACGGGTTGGTGCCGTCACTCTTTTCCGACTTCCCTCTTCTGAAGCGATGGAGAGTAATCCGGTGGTTCATTATGTTACCCGCTGTTTGTTCTTCATATGGTCTGCTATCAGCTCTCCTGTTATGCTGCATGAGTGTCGTCGTACCGATAATTTTTTGTTGGAGGTAACACAGAGTAGATGAAACACACTGTTGTTTTTCAGCTTCGTAGCTGTATTCGACCGAAATGAAATACGGTTATTTCTGGCAGACCCAGTGGCCTTGATTCGAGTGATTTTTAAGTCGTGAGCCTTGTAGGGACCGCCTGTCTAAAATTCAATCACTGGGTCTTTGCTCGGTCTCAGTGAACAACCTCTCGAGGCTAATCCAACAGATACCTCGAATATGGACCACTGGCTCACCACCGACACCAAATGTCCTCTGATGTGGCGCAAAGTTGTTCGTTGTTAATTTCGCATTTCACATCTGTTAGTGCCTCATTGTGGTGATACTAGATCAAAGGGTCGACTCTTCTGCTTCGTGACAATTTGTAGTTAAAATCCTACTCGGACGAGGATGCAATCGGACCCTCCGGCGTCTCATGTTATCAACTCGATATGACTGACCACCTTCCACCATTGATGCTCATCAAGACACAACAGTTTGAAAGGCGGTGCGATCGCTATCCGAATACCATTTCTTTATTCGGATGCAATGATTGACTGGTCCTATGAGCGGAGTAGATACCATTGGTTTAGATCGGTCCAACCGAAGGCACGGGGAAGGGCACTTGAGGTCCTCTGATCGGAGTAATGGTGAATGGTTGACTGGTCCTATGAGCGAAGTAGATACCATTGGTTCAGATCGGACCAATTGAAGCCACGGGAACGGACACTTGAGGTCCTCTGATCGGAGTAATGGTGAATTCCAGTCACCGAATTGCACTATATCAGGCGCAGACAATCCCTCGATCACATTCTACAGCTCGTCGTATAAATGTTTCTGAAATCTAATGAAGAGAAGAGTTGGTGGACAGTAATCGCCGTGGATACCTCAAAAGCAAGCTACCGCGATTCCGGGCAAAATTGTGACCCCAACCGTATACGTATTGTGGGCATGACCAATCAAGGCACAGGCAATCCGAGTTGCCCACTGGAACGGTACAGTTGAGCCACCAGAGACTAAGCTGCTTCTGGAGTTTAGCGATTTTGTCCCTGAAAACAGAGTGTGGACATTCCAGCTGTCGGTATAAACATGTCTTCTTAAATCGAGAGCCTTAGGTCACTTACTGGTTATGCTTACCGCTGGCCTAGAGCAACGCGTCTCGCTTCCTGGGAACGTGAGTTGTTCGATGCAGGCGACTTCCCCAGTGTCATTCGGGTTTTGCTTTTCTGGTTTTTGCACAACAAATCGCGATCTACAAGGTGACAGGCGACTTATTTGAAGTTATGGGGATGCTGTCTGTTGGACTCCGGATGTGGTTTCGTCCTCCTACTCCACTGGAGGTGATTCATTCTTGTTTAGCAACATCCACCAGGTGGACAATAGCCAAGCTTTCGCTTTTGACACTCACATGAGCAACAAAACGGTTAAGTTCATTAGCGAAAGCCTGACTGCAAGTTAGCACTGGTCGACTAGGTCTAGTTTTAAGGAACAGGTCGCCACACTTTAACTCTAGATTTATAGAATCAAGAGATCATGTTTGTTAGACCGTTACCCATTGACCGACCTGGTAAGGGTGACCATTGTGCTGCGTTGATATCTTCCAGTATAGCCAAATTGCCTCACAACATAGTCAATTCCCTTTCAGGACATGTGCGTCTGTGGAAACCCATGGTGATGAGTTGAGAGGTACGAAACTGTGCTAGATTTTCAGGAAATTTTGGAAAAAAAATTCGGTGGTTTCACTGTTGGGCGGTGTCTCCCTTTCGTCGGGTTAGGCGAATAATCCATAAGGTTGACTCCGTACTCCGAAGACTGGATGATTCCAGTTTGGAGTTATCGTGCCCGTATTCTTTAGCCATCGTCATACTTTTTCGAGCAACCAAACGGAAAAATCGTTGCACACATTCCATCTATCCGATTTGCTTTTTCAGCTCAACTAACTGTTCAGTACCAGTCAGTGCTGGTTTCATGCATTTCTCGAAAATGTTAGTTTTCTATCCCCAAAAGCTCAATAAAACTGCATGTTGCAAACGTCTGAATTTCGAATCCTAGCCTCGTGAAGAATGAATGAACGTCTGATTCGATTTCTAAATCTACCTCCAGCTTGCAGGCGACTGTTTTCATTCTTTACTCCTTGTTTGCACTTGCAGCTATGCTAGCCTAGCCACGGAGGCAAAAAAGGTAGGGAATGCCCGACCAAAGTGGATCGAGTATGGTTATTTTTCGAACGGACGCCTTTCGTATGAGCTCTTGCTACGTATTGCATTGTCTTAGCGGACCATATGGAGGAGGAGCCTCACGGTTGAGATTGCGGAATATTCTCTCTATCTACAGAATATAATTTACTTGCTCTAGGGGGGAAGCACAGGCCCTCCGCAGGGTCACTGGAGGATATTTGGTGCCACATCCCGCCTAAATAATCCTAGAGATTTGTGAGATGCGTGCTGCTGATAACGCTCAACGTGAATGAAACAGCTGTACAGTGCTTCTTGTTTTTTTTTTAGCTTAGACTAACCTTACTTGAAGGTTGAGGTGTAGATCTGAAACCCGGGGTGTCCTCGCTACTTTATGAATAGTGTCATCCATAAACTCAATATTGTCATTTCTGTGGTATGAAGGAATAGCATCGATCCGGGGTGTTCTATTCAACTGTTCTATCTTCCAGATTGAGAGTACGGCAAGTGAATAACTTTAATCTACCCGCTAATCAGATTAACTTCACCTGAAAGCAAAACATAGCTATCAGTCGATGACATTCAGTCTTCGTTTTTCTCAACCTGTTGCAGTTCGTCAATCATTTGAACAAGTCGCGAAAACAAAGCTCATTAGTAATAGGTTACTAGACGAAGATTAGTGGAACCGACATCTGCTGACTCATTGAGAAAAATGATTGATCCTTTCAGTTCGGTTTTCGATACCATCGGTAATTAATACTTTCCGTCACTTTTTGTTAAGCGATGCATGCTTGTTCATAGCACGAAACCTTCACTGCCCGGTCCGCGTCTACTCTCATTACACAATGAGATTAAATTGAAGACTAATTTCCGGAAGATTCATACCGTTTTGCGCGTCTCTTACAGTTTGTTTGCTGTACTTCGGCAACTAGCATTAATACATTGCATGTGTTGACAACCTGGCAACTACTGTTGGTCAGTATGACCACGCTGGTTATTGGTTTGCTATGTAGGTCAGAAACCTGGCCATTCAAAGCAACATTGGGCTATCACATCCAAAGCATCGCCCGCGCTCTGGCACAACGTTTGGCCTGCCATAGGTGAATTGTTGACACTACATAGGTTACGTGGGCCCCGATGTTAGCAGGCCAAATTTTTTGGACAGTCTTTTTCAACCGACGAGGTAGTGCGTAAGGACGACCCAAAGGAGGTCCGATTACGACTAGACGACTGTAACCAGCAAAAGTATCTACGCTGACGGCTGTCATTTCTCTGGATGATTTTCTTCAGAAAGGGTCATATCAATGGTTTTGGATACTGGAAGACCCGATTCTATCATGCCGTTTATTTTCTGCCTTCGGGCATAGATGCTTCTCCCCCTTCTTCCACCAGTTTCACAATACCTGTGGCCACCCTTCCATCACTGCCAGGTTACCGTGTCAAAGAAGCAAGCTATCACGTGCCATGTTTAGCTGTCCACTGACGTCAGTGCTGAATGGGCTGCATCACTGTGCAGTCTGTACTCATACTGTAGCTGATTGTGATCTAAGTTAATGATAACGAAGCTCCCTTACAATGAATGATGATGAAGCTGGTCAACAACGGTTGCCTCAGAGCATTAGTGCTTACGACAGATACGGAGCGTACGTTGTAATAACAGGTCGTCCAATGGACACGTGAGGGAACACGGTTACGAGCATTCCTAGACCGATTCACTAGTGTTGACTACAGTGGATTAGACGTATCCATTGCAAACCGGATTCCAGTCCAAACTTTTCCTGGCCTAAATCGGATAATGCCGCGCTGGGATCTTCCTGCTGATCGTGCAGTAGCGATTTGGGGTTCTGTTGGNGAGCTGACTCTCCTTCTCAAGGAACAAAGCACCGCAAATTATGTAAACAAAATAACTAAGTGAACAAAGGTGTGGACACTGTGGAAAGTAATCCATGACCTGTCGACGGATAAAAATGTGCATAGTGATAGCTATGTAGGATTAACGTTTTAGGTGTTTTTCTGGAGGAACGGTGTAGGTGATCAGTGTTGAGGTGACGTGGGAGGAGATAGGTTTCGAGAAAGGCAGTAATCCATTCTGTGTTCGCTTCACCAGAAAATCGATAGGATAGTGAAAAGGCTATCACAGTGGAGAGTTCGTTGCTACAGGGCTGTTTCCCTTTATCTATTCTTTGTATATCTGCATTAGATCTAGGTTTTGGCGATCTAACAGATTCCGTCCTAATGGAGTCCATCCGCTGGTAGACAGCTAACGTCATCGTCTGAAGAGACTTTTGATCATCCTCAAGAGGCTTTCGTAGATCGTCATCCCACTCTTTTGGGTTACCGGTGTTCAAGCGGCTCGATGGAGACCTATAACCCGTAACTTACACCGTGTGGTGTTCTGATTTCGCCGTTAGCACTTTTTATGAGCGGCTTCGTGATGCGTGCCAGTCCTCCATACTTTCTATTTCCTTCAATTAAAAACATCCTAGTCCGTGACTGCGATTCGACCTTCAGTCACGTGGCTGGTAGGCTGAGTGTGCCATATACACATCTTATAGCTGTTTTGTGGTGTAAAACACCGTGATCGCGGTAAGCTTTCCAGGATGTTTTGTCAGTTCACCCATTATCTTGCGATCCACTAATCTCTGAATAATTTGCGCTTGACTTTCAGCTACTTACGAGTAGTGCCTGTTTTACTCTAATCTCAAACCCTTATTCCGTGAGCCTAAGGTGGTAGTTTTCTGATGCTCAGACGTAACCTTATTTATCTCTTTTAGCCATTCAAGGTGGAACCACTGGTCACCCAACGTTGCATTCTATGCCGCGGAGATTACACGCTTGCCGGTGTGCTGCGGTGCAACGTACGTCGCAGATTTTTTTGACGTTTTTTTTGTTTCAAACGATGTCGAGTAGTTTTCAGAAATCTTATGAGTAGCGTTGTTTTCGGAACTAAAACCAACGTTCGACAACTAAATATCAATTTGGTTTTCAATAGAGACTGAACTGGATCTCTCGTTTATCATATCATCAATTGAATGTGCTGTACAAAGACCGCCTCATGTTTCAGTTGGTGCGATATTCGAGATTCGAAGAATATGATAATCGAGAGATTCGGTTGAGTCTCCCGCGAAAGCTAAATCGATATGCAAATAAGTGTGCTTGTCGAACTCAGTCCAGTTTGTGTTCAAATAAAACATTAGGTTGACGGAAACTCGGGGACTGCACCTGTTGTTGAATAGTTTTCAGCAACTTTGTGAGTAGTGTCCTTTGTGGATAAATACTTCTTATGCCTTCTCAATAATGCAAGTCATCTACTCCCAGCTTTTTTCTTCGTATCACTACACACCAGTCAAGACCATCTTGACACAATTCCCATTGCTCCTTTCCGCAGCATTCAGTTTGTGAGTCATGTGTGCAAACATGGTGCAGTCGTCACACCTTTTGTCCGACGTGCAACGTGACCTTTTCCCATCAGACTCAGTGGCGTGACGGATCGATGGACTTATTCATCCAGCTATACTAGCTCATTGGATGCACTTTTCGGACACCTGTTTCAAGTGCCTTCCTCCCGTGCTTTTTTCTGCCCGCCGTATATTTAGTAATTGAAGATTTCCATCTTTGTTTAAAATCTCACGAGTTTTGGATGACATCAAATTTCGATTCCTTGCCTGGTCTGTTTGCTAGTCCACACGTTCACTTTGGCGAATATGGCTGTGATGTAGTATGTGTTTTGTTTGAATGTTCCTTTTTTTGCTACCGATTTCTGACATTATCTTTGTTGTACAGCCGCGTTTTGTTTCATCGGCCAGACTGCTCCAAGCCCATGGTTTCCTTATGTGGAAACCAGATGGTACATATCCTTGCTGGCTTCCCAGATTTATTCTTGGTGAATAAATGCCTACACGTAATGTTGCATTGGATTCTCATGTACTGATTGTGTGGACTTGGGCGAACGCCTTGATGATACCTGGGGATTAGCTGCAGTGCAATTTAGGCACCACCATATCAGTTCTTACAGTCTTGGTGGTCGAGACCCAATGGATAGTTTTGTAGACTTGTGTTCGCTCCATTCAGATTCGATTATCCTCATTTCCGCCTTCTTATCGACCGGTAACTCTGTCCGCAAATATGTTATACACTTTGCTTCACGTTCAATGTAGGATCGCTCACGCATCCAAGTAGTAGACTTTGTTCACCGCTGAGACTAGGATTTTTTATATTGATTAGTTGTAGTGAGTCGTAATTGGTCAGTAGGTATGAGTGACATTCTCTTAGCGCATGAGCCGCTGAAGATATGGTGGTGTCAGCCGAAATCTCGAAATCCCGTTTCTCGTTTCCCCGTGCTTTCCTTTGACTATACACTTCATCTCAATTGAACTGTTGTTGAAACCGGCGTTCAGAGTAATCCGTGTTCACCGTCAAAATTAGCATGACCTCAATGGTTCGGGCATTCTGGTAGATTGCTTTATCCCCGACTGCAACTGTGAACTATATGTCGCTAGAATTTTAATTCGATCCGGATAACTCGACAAATTTTCAGACGGACACTACCTCAAGTGAGTTCGATCATGCAGGCACCGGACTGTAAGGCTGTGACCGATAACATCCGATGAACTGATTTTTGCACGGGCTAAATGTGTGCTTATTCATGGATGTATTCGAACCAGAAAGCCTATAAGTTATCACCACTACGAAGCCAAGTTTGGTCAGTACCCTTCATAACTTTGTTTCAAATCTCACAGACTATCAACCAGTGGTAGTGCGTTAACTAAGTCCATTCTTCAGACAAACGGCCGCTTGAATGTTCGACGAACTTCACTTGAATGCACGGCACAGTGGTCCGCGAGAAACGTATCTCAGTAAATTACACAACCTTTTTCTTGTTAAGGCTTAGTGGTTGTTTGTATTGGGACGGGAATCCAGCGCGGATAGTTTTTTAGAACTAAGGAAATCAGGGGTATTATTCCTGTTTGGTGGTTTTGTTCTGTAACCGAATCTTGAGAGATCAACTTCTCGGTAGTAGTGTTGCAGAATTTCTCGGTGTTCTGCCCAATAGCGCGTGTTTGGGTATCCTGTTAATCCAGTAGGCAATCGGCCTTCTTAATGTATCGAAGTTCCCCAGGAACGGTCGTCTAAAAAAGATCGAAAAATTGATTTGACACCTACCGTCGTGTTAAAACACCCGTCACACGAATGGTAATAGCGACAGTGTGGGAACAGCGGACAGGAAAGCTGTTTGGTCAGTGGAATGCGGTCGATCGATAATCATGTTCTGTTTTCTTGAAAGTGGTATGCGTGCGGTGCTTAAAAACACCAGAATAATTGCTTTCGCATAACTTGCTTATTAGGTTCGTCTTCCACCAACATAGGCTGCGTTTTTCGAAGCCTTTGATGAACAGAATGATGAAACGCTGCGCACTACGAAAATTGGATGATATTTACTGGTTTCATAGAGGAGTCTTCAAGCAACCAGTGCCCTGCATGCTGAAGAACATGAATGTGCTCCCATACAAAGTGGACTTCTTCGGGTCCGTAGTCACGGCAGTGAAGCATCAGTGTTGAACACTGATGTCATGCTGTCGATGGTGACGATGACCGTAGTCACGGTATCCAAAATTTGAAAACTAGGGCGTGTCAGAATGACTGTATCAGGTGTTGAACACCCCACAAACACGAATGCAACCATCTTTCGTTGCTTCTGTAAAAGGATGTCACAACCTACCGTGTTTTGATACACCATTTTGGGTGAAATTGCGAGCGAAGGACCAGCAAGGGAGTTGTAATTCAGAACACGAAGTCACATTTACTTGACGGGACACGAACAAGAGGAAATGGGCAGTAGACATTTTGTGAATTCCAATCGATTTCCCAACATGCGCGCAAAGTAGCAGGCATTATGTTACGGTACCATCTTCCAACACGGGTACCATTGGCGACCGGTCCTAATTCTCTAAGACTTGTTCTTGTTCCCAAATACATAGAAACAACTCACGCGAGGATTCCCCTACTTCTAGCGCAGCACCAGGGCGGTGCTCCAAGGCAAATCAGTACTTCAGGAAATGATGGTTAGAGGTCTAAACTTACATAAAAAACTACGGCTTAAAATAAGCGGGTAGAATGCAAGACGCAGGCAATTTCGCTCATGATCTAGGTGCTCGTCTTTATTATATATTGGACTTCCACTAGTATATTTGATTATCCTAGTTACGGATGGCCATTTAGGTTCTCTCAGCTGTACTGGACCGAGGGAATAGAACGCCTCGTGTCAAGTAGTGACGGTGGCCGTCTTGAGATCGACTGGTTCCTGTGTGCGCGCTCGGAGTTCTACCGTAACGTCATCATCATAATCATCAAAGACAGCAACATCAGTGCTGGCGATGCTGCTTCACTGCCGTACAACCATAAGGTTCGTTTAGTTATATATATATATATATATATATATATAATTGTATTAAAAGACCTAAAGTGAAGAGAAGAGAAAAAGAGTGGGTGAGGGAGGGGACCCAGTGTTGGCCTATGTTAAGCATACTGAGGTGCCTACACCTCCAACCGCTCAATCAGACAATCTGGAAAGAAACTGACAGCACGAACGCCACTGACATCGATTAGCCGCCATTTCTTGCAACGTCTCCAGCCAAGCACAGACGGGGTCACGGGGACCCCATCCTGGAAGTCGCACAACACCAACAACACCCAAACTCTTCGTGATCTCTTTCACGCCTTTCTGCCAAGTCATGTGCTGTCCACCTCGCGGTTTGCGCCATCCTGAAGGAGGCACGGAGAACAACACTCGTCTCGGTAGACGGTGTTTCGGCGTGCGTAGCATATGACCGAGCCATCGTAGTCGATGGTGCTGGATGTTTTCTCGGATTGAGGTGCCTGCAGCACAACCAAATACCCGTTTTCTAATCACGGAAACGTACAGTCGTGGTTATCTCTCTCTCCGGTCAAGGTAACCACTTGTAATATTGCTTCGATATGTTATGGCTCGCAAAGCTTGTCCACTGATAAAGGGAATCTCGTTTCTGAAGTTTGCCGGAAAATTGTAATGAAAATCTCCAGAGAACAAGGATTTTGTCTGGATCAATCTGTGTACTCCTAAGTAAAGTACCGAACAACGCCAGCGGTATCTGAAAGTTAGCTCGTCAGCAGTGCGTATTCTTGGTAACGATGGAATATGAGTCCCACAACGCTACCATCAGTGCCAAATTGAGATACATGAATAACCATGTTTGAACAGGCGAATGCTTCCATGCTTGAGAGTTGTATTGGTTTGACCCAGTAGCCGTCCTGATTCTGTCCATATATTGACCTGTCTCTCAGTTACAGCTGCTGACGCTCAAAGCTATTGAGCAATTTTCGATTGCCTGCACGTATGTGTGGAATGTGTTCACATTGTTTTCGTTCTCTCCGTATGCAACGATTCCGGCTTATCCACACTAAAGCGGGATGTTTGCGTTCACAGGCTCATCAGATTGAACTTCGGATGCGAATGAGTTCTAATGGGAATGAAACCCGATTGGTGTTTCCCAGCTCCGGTGCCATTGTGGAGGACACCTATTGGTTTCAAATGGTGTGAGGGTTGCTACGAATCAACGTATCGATACTATGGGTTCAATGAAGGAAAACGGTTTGTTGTTAAAATCGTGACTGATACCAGGCAGGCTGCGATACGGAAAATGGAACCACTAGAGGTTTACCGGACTCATCATTCATAATCGGGACAGTATCTCTATAATCGCCTTAAAACAATTCACGGTTACAAATGTTGGAAAAAAACGATTAAACTAGATCATCTGATTTGAAATTACACGGCTTTAGCTGGAAACGGGGCAAGAGTACTCAAACAGGCCGTGAAACTCCTGAAAGTCGCCAAATCCAGGTGTGCTACATATCCCGTCGCTACAGTCCCGTTCCCAGGTCGACGCATTGCGCACACATTGAGGCACGTGAGCAAACCTGATGCTAGTTACCAGAGCAAGCTAACACGTGATTCACCGGTAGGCATGCATCAGACTTCAATAAACCACACTGCACATTGGGGGGCGCATGCCATAAACAACTCACAAAGTTTGTGATAATCATGGAGATCGATAAAACAGTAGGTGAGCATGCATTAAATCAAAATTTTAATGCGCGGTAAAAAATATGAAGAAAAACAGTTACCGGAAATAAAGCGGAGGGGGGACAGTAGCGCTGCGCCCAAAAGCAAAACGGCAGCGTATATATGTGGTCCGACATGGAGAGATATCGCTCGATAAATAGGGTGAAACAAAGGCGTTGTTGTCTACTAGAAAGGCGAAGCAAGGACAGCGTGCGCAGCTGGATGTTGCGACTTCTATTGGCATTTAAATTGATTCCATTTGCGTGGTTTGTAAACCTTTGCCTGTAAACTTCGTTTTGAATTGTTCGGGGACGGGAAATTCATCCTAGAATGGATCGTAGGATAAACAGTGTTAGTTCATAAAAGCTATTGACTGGTTTCTAAATATCTGACTTGCATGAAATACATTTTGAAATAAGCCATCCACCCCGACAAGTAAATATGCTATAAGAAAGGTGAAACCAATGAGGGTCGAACTTTGTGGAACCCGAACTCAGCCACAGATATGGTCGATTAAAGAATCACGCATAGAATGCAAACTTATGGCGATTCCAATCGTCAAATTAGCGCGCCATTGAAGGTCAATGATTGGACTAAAACCTCTGAATATTACCCAGCACTAGATCGGAGGGTAACAACGGTGCAATGATATTAGATAGCTGGTAAGGAGATTGTGAATGTATGCTTGGGGTTAGGTCACTAGGGCCAGTGAGATTCGGGAACGCTAGTGGGTGCATAGGAGACACTGTCCAAGAGACAGGATAGAAAACCAACCGCAGCAAAGCAACACCCAGAACCCTATCTCCATAATACCGTGGCACTACTCATCACGTGAGCGGGGAACAAATCAGTGTAATCCGACCAATAGCTGTAATCCGAAATGAGGACAACTGAGCGTATTCTATCAAGGGGAGTGCAGTGATGCTCATGCTGATGTAGGTACTAAATGATGAGGGATATTACGTCTTGTCAGAGGGCCGATCCTTTGGTAGGCGGTTCTAACAGATGGAGTTATGCTGTTCTAAGAATCAGCAAAGTTAAACTATCAGTAAAAAACGCGTCTGGTTACCTCGATAGCGTAGACTATGGAGGCGAACTTCTGACGATGAGCGAGCTTCGCGGATGTGCTCCAAAGTGGCAGACAAATATTCTTCGGAAGTTAACGAAGCATGTTGCGTTTGGCTAGCATTGACTGGGAGCAAGAGTCAAGATAGTGAGTCAGTTTCGAATATGGATGGAATTCCCCTAGGTTCTTTTGAAGTACAACCCTTGAGATATGACCAGGAGTTCGTATCCCGGTCTGCACACCATTTTGAGCCCTAGATTTTGGTGGGATATGTCGGCAAGGCCAAATTCGCAGCAATATGACCAGCAAATTAATAAAGATCATTAGCGAGGAAACGCGGTGCTCGGAGGCGACCCGCTTTTAATGACCTCAAATCAAGTTGACTGGATGGATGTCGCGGGCCATGTGAAGGCATCCACTGATTGTTCAAAATGTGAGTCAACCAGGATCGAGCATCCTAGGACGATACTGCCGCGCTAGCGTAATGTTGTAGAAAATCCCGTGATAACCCTATGAATACAATTGTGATATCTTTTCTTCGACTCTACAAAAAACTACCCCAAGCCACTGCGCTTTTCGATATACCATGGTGTGTGAAATGGGAAGTCAAGGATAGACTGTACTACCGTCTACAGTACACAACACGCGGTACGAGCAAACGTGTTTAGTTAGGAAAGGCCGAAAAGTGGAAATGCCTAACAAGATTCCTATAATGGCAGCTGTTTTCATAAACGGAATGCATACAGTATAATTAATAAAAAGAATCAGACCACAACAATACCCAAAAGGGACTTACATAATCCCCATTCGCTTTCGGAACTAGTACATTCAATTCGGAAGACTTTGCAGTGATTATATCCGCATACAGTGACTGGCTGCTCAAGTAGATTTGACATCCATCCGTTTTGTCAACGTTCACCGTTTGTAACTGACCCATGGACTAGGGACAAGCAGAAATAGCGAGGCGTCAGGGTTTTTTTCATAGTCTGACGAAATGACAACAAGACCGAACAGGTGTTCTGTTCGAGCTTACAGAAATCCTGGAGTAGCTTTTGGGCTACCGTGTAGCCCAACTACAAGTATACTAGTTGGAAGAGTTCCGTCGCTGCTAAACGTCTGGAATTGAAATGCAATGGTTCCAGCTGCTACAGCCCCGATCAGCGAGGATAAGGAGAATGAAAGGGGGTTCAGTATGGCAGGAGGCAAGAGCTACGCAGTAAAGGCGATATTTCTGACCCAAGAACGCATCGGGTGGGAGATACAGCCGTATGTCAGGGACAATAACCGTTTGTTGGTCGCGTCTCGCGGTCTTCATCCGTAGAGACGGCAGTTACAAAGGCAGCTGAGTTGGCTGGCCTTCATGATTCGTTACCAAGTCATGGACTGATCGCTGCTGGATCGTCTCCACCCGACACAAGGGTGAGCGAGGGGGCTCTCTACGAGGCAAACAGTCCTCTGGCGTACGAAGTGTATGACCTAGTCAGCGCAACTTGTCGTGGGTTGAGTTTCCATTAGTTTCGGTCTGCTCAGCAGTACGTCTAACCGTGGTAACATTCTTTTACATACACTACAAACTAGCAGTGAAGAAACACCAAAAAGCGGCATTTGAAAGTTTACACATATCCTTAAAGCGGAGACGATATATGCACTATTGCGGCTTCCGACATTAGAAACATAAACTACAGGAGTTGGAACTCAAAGACTTCCTCCAGCTGCGACAGAAAAAAACTCGATGCTAAGATAGCCTATTAAACTGCCGCTAAAATTTCATTTGGCAGAATACTGCATATATTCATTGCGTTCTGCTTGTGGAATGAACGTTAGTGGCAACAAGTCCTGTAGTGAAGTTGAAAACTAACAGAAATTTCACGTCATCAAATTTAGGAACATTCGGTAAAAATCTCAGTTTATGAGCACATCAACAACATGGATTATAGACTCAATGTGTACCGAATTGGCGTTAATACAGATTGTGTACCTCTGGTGTTCAAAGCTTACGTCGGATCAGTGAGCCCGCTAGTGAAACTTCATCAAGACAATTGAGGTTTGGCGTCGCTCGATACGCCAATAGGAAACACTGGAAAATCTCATCCGTGGGTTCATCCTCTCTGCACTTCTGAATTACACGCTTCAGTGTCAACGAGCGTTCTGCCTGCCGTCCCACTGTGAATGAAACGGCGGCGAGCGGACAGGAATCATACCGTATTCCCGACAAAACTCTGCAAACACCGATGACGCGAACTGACTGCCGCTGTCGGATACAATAGTCTCTGGCATTCCGAAGAGACGGAACTGTCGCCGAAAGTCCCAGAATTTTGTCGCCACATACATTATAATACGACGCGCTACACAAGTGCTTTTGACTCGTAAAGGAAACTACTCACAAGGTTGCTGAAAACTCTTCCACAGCCCAGACCGGTTTCGCCCTTCCGCTTTAAGCTCATCAGGCAGGCGCAGTCCCCGAGTTTACGTCAACCTCATGTTCTACTTGAACCCTAATTGGACTGTTTTCGAGAAATACCCTCATCTGCAAATTAATTTGGTTTTCATGAGAGACTCAACTGGATCTCTCGTTTATGATATTCTACAACTGAATGTGCTGCACACAGGCCGCTTCCTGTTTCAGTTGGCACGATATTCGAGATATCGCAGTATATTTTCATAAAGTAAACTACTCACAAGATTGCTGAAAACTCTTCGACAGCCCACGACCGGTTTCGCCCTTCCACTTTAGGCTCATCAGGTAGGCGCAGTCCCCGGGTTTTCGTCAACCTAATGTTCTACTTGAACCCGGTTTTGTGCGTTAATACACGCTGTGTACCTTTGTTGGTTGTTTTGACGGGAACGTTAGCTCGGAAGGTTCAGACCGAGAACGAAGCTGAGATAATACCGTTATTACATCACGGCTTAAATTGCGCCTATCGACAGCGGTTTTATTGATTGCCGAGATCACGAAGAGGTGATGTTTTATATTCTTAATAGACCTTTATTCCGTTATGTTCGTATAGGAATGTTCTCGTAAGGTTTGAACCTGTGGTTTTAGTTCATTACGCATTATCCTACCCAATAATGCCTAGAATTGCCGTAGTCGCAATTAAGATGTTACCCAAAATGGTGTTTTAGAGGAATGATTGGTTGTGTTTGACGCATTTGAATAGTTTGTTGGGTCATCCAGCAGATGGTGGCGAGAAAGGTAGTTCACACATATCAATAAATCGCCCGAGAGAATGGGTTGTTAAAAACCTGTGGATCGAATTTCCAAACCAAGGGTGCGGTCTCGGAATTCCACACATGAAACGAACGAAAATGGTCATGAGAGACGAATGTATGGATTATAGAATCCCAGTAGGCCTGTGTGCAACTTTCAAGATGGGAACCGGTAGGAGGCTTGAAGGCACCCATGCACGGATTCGACCCCGGATGGTTGAAACGGAAGTTCGTGGTGTTAACCAACAGGATATGCAGATCATCTTCGCTGACAGGAAACTGCCTCTGCGTTTAAGTCGCTCAGCTGTAGCACCCTTTCGGTGCCTAACTGCCATGCCACCAGAAGGTTGCACGAGAGCTGGGATACTGCCAAGTTACCCAAGCCCAGACAGGGGAAGTCGAGAGGCGGAGGTCGGGTTCGAACCACGGAACTTCCGGTCAGTGAATTCGGGCTCTAACCACTTGGGCCATCTCGCCACCCTCTGTGTTCAAGCATCCAACCAAACATACCAAGCTTACAGGTAAGGTCACACCCACGTTCTGCCCAAGACCTGGAAAAATTCTACGCAACGGATACTACAAGTTGACAGGTTGTATATCGGACATTGAAACCGCGTAATCAACGTGAACCAAAGACGATTTGATTGTTCTCTCTAGTCTGTTACACGAGATACACTTACCTGCACTTGCACACTCTGGCAGTTAACAATATCCAGGGCAGAAATCAAATCATCGAAAACCACCCCGGTCTTTTTACAGTTGTCTGTGATGAGAAAACATGGTATAGTTCAGTTGTTAATCCAACACATGAAGAAAGATACAGATAAGCAAGATAAAAGAAAACCTTCGAAAATGGCAACAAATCGCGTTTAGAACAGGATACAATATACAGGAGCAGATGAAAAGTTTGGAATTCAGGTAACCTGATAGCATGGTCGGTCACGATTCCATTCGCATGACTAATACCGAATATCATGTCGCTGTGTTGAGGTAAGAGTAGTAGGTTCATGCATCTGCCTGATACGTGCATACCAGTGAGTTAGGGGGTTCAGTTGTGCCGTGATACTAAGCCAGAACCGTGTCCTTAACATAGAGCAGACAAGCGAAACAAAGTAACACATCACAAGGTGATCAACTGTCGCGTTTGATAAATAGGTGAGTGTTGATAGAAGAGTTTCTACCGACTGTCCAACTAACAGAATGTATGGCTGGTTGTTGGTCTCTTCGCCGACCTTTGCGGTCGCACTGCAAACGCTTCAACACTATATATAGTCAGTGTAGATTTGAGTGGGTCACTATCTCAAGTCATCTTGCACATGACTCGATACGAGGAGGGCAAAGCGAAATATGGTTGAACATTGAGGTCATGGAACTAAACCAATCGGTGGCATAAATTAGAAAACACGAACCAATCTTACCGATGGCCAGACAGCCAAAGTCACAGCTGACCCGAGCTGATTTTCCGGAACCGTACTACACAGTTGAATTCCTGAACAACTCTCAATCAGAGGGACATATTCATATTCATTCATTTAATCGATGTTATGTGCACAGAATCGTCTGAATCGTAGTGGTCTGTCTCAGGTGTGGCATTTCATCTTTACAACATGACCGGTTACCATTCAGCTCCATTGAGCCAATGCAGTTCGACCGGGAAGAAAAATTTGAACCTCACTGAGAACCAATCAATGAACAATGCATGGCAGCAGCGCGATTGGCTTCCTTACTCTTGAAGTTATGATAGCTTCATTTGAGGTGATTATATCTGTCGCTGAAATGAGGCAGAACTGAGATCACATACAATGGCTAGTTGGTTTGGCTTGAGTGTGTTCACTTGGTTATGGACACCTCTGACAGAATATCCAAGGTAGCCGAAATGTTGGGACTATAACACCTTATTCTACAACGTTATATTTTGAGTTATAAACTTTATGATGATATAAAAACCACCTTGATTTTCACTCACAACGAAAACCGAGGTAGATTAGTGAAAAACCACAATGTTACTTGAGAAGCTTTGGAGATGATGGATGACACAGGCATGATAGACAACGTGGAGCGCCTACCCATCATAATTGAGTTGATCTTCCCCTTGACCTCGATAGTACAGCCCACGCATTTGTACACATAAACCGTTTGTTTCGGTTCGGTTTCCGTGATTTTGAGGTGTTGGTTCTGGTAGTTTTCCTACAAGAGCCAAACACGGGAGCACATAATGAAACGCTGAACATCAAAGCAGAATGACATTTACCTGGATGGCAACGAGTACTTCGTACGATAAAGTGGTTATGCTGTGGTAGTGCTTAGTAGCATATATCCACGTTCTCAAGGCACTCACTCTGACGTGAGGGCAAAATATTCACACGTCTAAAGCGGGTTCGTCAAAATTCCAGTCTAAATACAGATAAAACATGAAGCTAAAGAAAGGATGACGTGGAAATTGAACCGTCGTCTTCCGGTGCGGTTGGTAGTTTGCATTGGCTGCGTTACGTCAACAGATGGATCACAATATCGGACACGAGTCGGGAGCTATCACGTAAAAATAACAGAGCAGTGAACAGGACTCCATAAGCGATCAGAATGTGATTCATTTAGGGAGGATCAAGTAGCAATACGTAAGAACACGTGCAGATCGCTTAAAAAGGTGTTACAATGAATGAACGGAATGGAAAGATAGGAGCGAAGTAGACAAGAAAGTGATGAACATAAAGATGAACCCATTACAACTCGTTTATTTCCTGATATAGCACTTGTATCCAAAGTGGACGGGAATCTGGGATTCGACTCCTAACTTTTTACGGAGGACCTGATTAGCACTCGGACGCGGGTTTGCAGTTTCCACAAGCGATAGGTCTGGAGCAGCAACCCAGTCTGTGTTTCAGTCTGATTAAGAGTTAATATGTGGATATAAAAGTATTCCGTTACCTGATTTTTCGGTTTGAAGTTCGAAATCTTAAACCTAGTACTTAGGCATGGGCCTCCTACTCAACAGACTGAACATTTAGGGCGGAAACGCGATCAAATCGGCGGGGTTAGGTTGAGCGGTCGTTCGCGATGTTTGAACAGTACTTAGTACAGACTAATCCTCAAGAGATTTATTTAGTCGCAGCTTGGAGAATTTCTGGCATCCACCGTCACGTCGGTCACGTTCCGAAAATCTATTATCACGACACGATGTAGCAAACAGATCACTAGACAACCACTCAGTGACATGCGGTAGCTTGTTACCGGCAACTGCTGAGTCCCAATCATGGCAAAATTCATCTTGTAGCATATGGATTCCGACTGTTGTGACCAGGCTTTGCTACTGATTGCTGGCTGCCAAACACGTTATGGCTACCAGTGATAAAAAAGGCGGAACCAAAATAGCTCATAGTACGTATCAATAGAAGCCTGGTGGGTTCGCTGATCCAATCGGCGCCTGTCCTGCACCAAGTTTAAAAGAGGATTGAATTTTCCCGTCTAAATGCGTCGGTTCATAGCCTCAGTGATATTTCTCTTGTTTGTGCTATGACTAGAAATCCCCAGTCCGCGAAGTCGCTACTCTGGCGGAGCCTTTAAACTAACCGTGCCTCTGAAACTGAAACGTGTCACTCTAGATTGACTTCAAGTTCATGGTAGTCATTTACCGCAACAGTCATTTAAGATCTTTATGCTGTCCTGCAAATTTTGAGAAGGAACGCAGTTATATTGTAAAAATTCGTTTCTCAAGCATGTTGAACAGAATAAGAAAAGACGTTTTTTTTGGTGCATACATCCAGAAAGGATACAGATCCTTGCAGTGATCTCTAGAGATGACCGCTCACCACAAAGAAAGATGGTACGCTGACCCGAGCCTTCGTCCTGGGAACACAATGGTAGTAGTGGATTTGTAGTACAATGAGAAGGCTGTTTGCACTTAGATTTGGATGACTGTGCCACCCAGCTAGCGGGCGAAGGTTTGGATCGGCCTTATCTGACTTGATTTGAACATTCCACTTGAAAGACCATCGGCTTTACTCACCGGGCGAACTGGCTACTGTGTCAAAAGTGAACCCATCTCATTCCCGCTAGCTCAAAGACTCACAAAAACAGTCTATAGGAAGCCAGAAGGATTGAAGCACAGTCACCTATACTTGCCACACACTTATTTTCACATCCTGTTACTCTTTGTCGAAGAAAACGTTGAGAACTTATATTATATAGATGGCTGTTGTTCAGTTCGCTAGTGCAAACAATTCGTCACCAAACGGATTGAAGTCAAATCCTTTGCTGTTCTTTGATAGACTAGTCGACCACGTCAAACAGTCATTTACCCGCAAAAATGGTCCTTCAAAGTTGAAGCAAAAGGGAAACGACTGTGACGATCAAAAACCCTCCTCATGGATGGCAGGAGAAGAGATTTTTCGAACCACCGATCTGACTAGATAAAAGCGACGAAACGAACGAAGTAGAGATTGCGGGTTTCAACATTGCTGAAGCAATGTTGAGCCACCAATGTGGCCCGAGCCTAGAATATGAGTTTGAACATGGACACTTCAGCATTTGGAGTACACAGAGCTCTGCCTGACTTAGCAAGGATTATCCAGTGTGCCAACGGGTGCGTATTCGTTGAGTCGGACACAAATATATGGTTGATTCAATCGCATAAATTCCATCCCTAATATTGAATAAGGGCTTTGGACTATAAAGCCGAGTTGTTCAAATTCCCAGATGAGAAGTTCACAGGTTACCAGCGAATAATTTCGTTCGCTGGCTATGTAAGTTGGGGAGGCCTTGACACCCTGTGTGGAACAAAGGCGTAAGTTTGTACGTGGAAATTGAGACGCGTTCGTAGTGCTCTGTGTTTTGATTACAAATGACTAAAATGTAGTAAGTAAGTACACAATATTGATATTGTTACAAGCGATAAAAAATCGTTCAGCTGTAGCACCCTTTCGGTGCCTAGCTGCGATGCCACCAGAAGGTTGCACGAGGGCTGGGATACTGCCAGGTTGCCCAAGCCTAGACAAGGAGAGTCGGGCGGCAGAGGTCGGGTTCGAACCACGGACCTTCCGGTCAGTGAATTCGCGCTCTAACCACTTGAGCCATCTCGCCCCTACAAGCGATGCTAGGATTGATGAAACTAACAAGAAAGAAATAAGACTTCAACAACAGCCCAGAACTTACAACGACCCATTTGTTCCCACGTAATTCCATTACTGGCGTTGCCTGCTTCGTTCCGTTGTTCGAGGTGGTAGGTTTAGGTGCTTTTTGGGGTGGTCCGGAGCGTGGTTGAAGGCCTGCACCAGCACGTAATTCTGGGTTCTTGTGGGTTTTCATACCATCGGAAACTTTGCGCAGTCCAGCTGTAATAGCCTCCCCGCGGTTGAGCTCAGCAAACAAAGCATTCCTGGTCGGATCACCCTGAAACAAATAAATAATAATGGTAAAAACAATAGTTCGACTGTCGTTCGCTTTCGGTGCATAGCTGCTCTGTAAACCGAAAGATACGGATCACCGAAACAGCAGGTCATGCCGAAGAGTGATAAAAGTAGTGTCTCTCAATAGTTAAAATAACAGCCGAATTGCCGTTGAATACCACCTTTTCTTTTTTAGAAAGTTCTGTTGCGGATAAAACCAACAGGGAAATAAGAAATGCCCGGGGACGGCTGAACCTAAGTACCAGTGAGTCGTAGAATACAGTCATGACCAGGCACCAACAGCGATTTTGACATGGATTAGCATCCATTCTCTTGGACCACCTCGGGATACAAGGATTTCCCACTCAATGTCTCCCATGGGATTCAAGCTTTGTCCATGTCATCATTCACACATTGCATACGACCAAACCGTCACACTCTAGGGCACTGAATACGCTCATTTGAAGTTTGTGCTGGAAACCTAAAAACACGTTTTCGGCCAGTCTCGTGTAAACCCGCAGAAGCCAATGCACATAATAAATAAAGTTAATAAAGTGCTCAAAATGCTTCGATTTCTGGCTAGCGAAGCTTATGCCTAATAGCCATCCAGTCCCTCCTGCCTCCCGTCTGTACAAGATTCTTTTTAAGCCTGCGGCTAAGTTGTTTTAACATCACAAGTGGTCATTAGTCTGTTCTTCGAGCTGGGCAACTGGATTGCGGACAGTGCATCCGAGCTACCCATACCTCGTGGAACTGCAAAATTGGCAAGTGGCGCGAATCGAAAAAGTGGTTCGGGCTTTTGAGATTCACTCCGGCACACTGCAATCCTAGTTTCAGTCAACTTAAACTTGCGTCTGCTAAAATGGAATATCCTTATGTCCTGGATCCAGTCTAAATGGTTCCAAATCAAACATCGGAGTTTTGAAAACTCTGTAGCATCCAACTCCAAGTACTGATTCACACGGACATGCTTCGTAGACGCAATATTCCTGGGTTTCGCGTAAGTCATAGAGACTTGGTCACGGAAAAAGAGGCATACGGAAATACCAATGCACAACACGCCGACCCGATAAAACAGAGCAGGTCAATTCCGAAAGGTCTGCTTTGATCAAGCAGGTCGCTGACTCAACCGGGTAATCTGATTACTGGTGAATATCCGGACAGTTAACCCAACTCATCACTCACCCATCCTCACAAAGGACCTGATGATCACCAACTCCAAGGCCTGAAATTAGCCTGGAGGTTTCAGTAGCTAATAGCTGTTAGTCAAATATCCATCTGGCTTGCCAAATGGCTTGCTGCGTCCACCTGAATGATTCCAATGAGCACAAAAAACCTCATGCGGCAGATTTTCGGAAACCAATTCTAACCTTGGTGGAATCGAATATATCCTTAGAGGCTATCTGAGCATGGAAAGATAATCTGGAATGGAAGATTGGAGGATGGGCACCAATCGAATCACCAGAAATCAGGTCAACACAGTAAATGTCCTCTAAGGCTGAGAAGTATGTTGTTCCACTGCCAGGTTATGGAACAAAATGCAACACTGGCTTTGACTCAGGTCACCATAGGTTTACAAACGCAAACTTGGCGAGAATAATATTTGACAAAGGTGGTCAAAGATCGAGCTCCCATCCGCTGAACACCAAGCAAGTCTTTCTAGCAAAATCCGTGAAATCTAGGCAAGATTGAAATCGGTCCTCTCTACATTTCAGGACTTTTGCGCCTAGAAAAAGGTTATCAACAGCCCATGAAATGCTGAATACATAAAGTGTTGAAAGGGAGCGTCCTATTAGGGTAGAATCAAAGTAGGGTGTTGCAGGGGTTCAGTCTAGAGCCAAGAAAGATGAGTCCAGTAGAAACAAAACGGCCGTTAGATTATCAAGAACTCGATCGAATATGCATGCTCACAACCTATGTTTGCGTGGTACCAAGAGAAAGAAGGGACAATGGGATTAGCGGACTTCGGTTTGAAACAATTTCAAGTCACGTGAGACTCAAACGATATAATAAAGATATCCGTTCAGCTGAAACACCCTTTCGGTGCCTAGGTGCCATGCCACCCGAAGGAAGCAAGAAGACTGGGATACTGTTAAGTCGCCCAGACAGGAGAAGTCAAGATGCAGAGATCGGGTTCCAACCACGGACCTTCCGAGCAGTAAATTCAAGCTCTAACCACTGAGCCATCTTGCCCTCAAATAAGCTGATTCACACTGGCCCAACAACGTAGGGGACATTAGGGTTTTAAAGGGAAACTGCAGCAAACACAAGACAACTCCTTCCTGACCCAAAGGTTTGTGCTAAATTCCATCAGGTTGGCGGACAAACGTGAACACACCTAGTTCTCTGTCGGGGCGAGATGGCTCGAGTGGTTCGAGCACGAATTTACTGACCGGAAGGTCCGTGGTTCGAACCCGACCGCTATCTCTCGACTTCCCCTGCCTAGGCTTGGGAAAACTGGCAGTATTCCAGCCCTCGTGCAGCCTTCGAGTGGCATGGCAGTTAGGCACCAAAAGGGTGCTACAGCTGAGCGATCTGTCGGTTAACTATCAGGTGAATATGTCTTACATTCCATTTCCCATTCATTAGGTAAGGGGGGTTGATGTTAACTAACCTAAAGAGAATGTTCGACCATTGTTGTAGGTCATCAGCAATCGGCACTTCATCCAACGTAAGTAGAAGTCGAATCTCCAACCTTTGCAACCACTTTCTACTGAGAATTGTAAGTGACTGAAGGTTGCTCAAGCGAGTTTTCTAACAGAAATCATAATTTTTACGAGGGAGGTCATAAAGGAATCTGGTTAAGCTGAATTATCTGTTGGATAAGAAGTCAAGCTCTCAAAACATATTGCACTACGTGTCTCTCCTATTCACGACGATGGTAGTGCCACGATATACGATACTGTATGAATAGTCAATGGTGTACCGAACCGAAACATCGACACGGCTGTCACCACTTTCTAGCGCTTTATCAAAAGTAATAGACTCACAGCCGTAAGAACTGGGCTATACTGAACCGAAAAACGGAAAATTTATAAACACATTTACGAATGAAAATGCAAAAAAAACCTTCCGGTGAGCTGATGTTTATTCATCTTTCAGATAAAAGCGTACTGACTTCAGAAACAGCTGTTTCGTCTGCACCCCATCTAAACAGGACAAATGTGGGATTTGCGGTGACAGAGGTCGTAGCAACGGTGGTTTTTAACTGCCAATGTGAGTACGTGGGAACGTTGTCAACGGGGCTCTGATCGACGTCAGCGTAGACCAGAGTAGCTAAGCTATCATACAATCGGCGTGGGAAGAATTACCTAACTAGCAAATGGAAAGTGAGAATGGATGGAATCCGGAAGACCCTTTAGTTGAAATCATGGGTTGATTGTGGACAATGCGATGAAGATATCAGCTACAATAGAAAAAATGGGTTCTGTTGCGCTCCACGCAACATACCTTCTTTTCTTGCCTGGTAATTCTAGTTCGTGTTTGATGAAGCGAACGAATAAGAGCATCAGACATGGTGCAACTCGTGTACCTTGCAAAGTAAACCAGCTAAAACCATATGTACTCGACGGATGAACATTGAAAGAAAGGCAAGTTAGAAAATGAGACGCACTGATGGAGCTGCCGGTGCGACCAAGTCTGCGTCAGAAAACGCCGGTGGAGGAGCGGGTACACCGCCGCCTGTAGACGGACACGAAGTGCCGTTGACGTTCCAACTCAGACCAGTTGTATGATTTTTCCTCACGTAGTCGCGCAATCCGTCCCACAGAGACGTAAGGGCCTTTGTCCATGCCAAGTGTTGCGGGTCTCTGTAACCGAAGAATTAAAATGTGTTGACATCCAGGAATTCAATATAAATAACGGTAGGAAACAGTGAGCGTTTCAGAGTCGGTCTTTTCACCCACATAAATGTACTCCGCGGATTTCGTACCGATTAATTGGGAACACTGCTGTCGGTGATGATGATGATAATATTTACGAAGTATCTTTTCGTTAACGTGGGAACACTTTCCACAAATGACTGCATGTCTTCGAATCGGACACTTTCCTGATGAGCGGGCCTTCAAGTGCCTTTGAAAAAGGATTTCATATGAAACAGAAACCTTCACATAAGGACCATAAGATAATCCTTTGTATCGTGGTCTGCGTATTAACTGCCAACAAAAGTGAGGTCTCCAACCTTTCCTCATAAAAAAGAGGCACGTTAGACCCGTGACATCGCAGGTGACTGCGCACCCCGAGTTACCAAAAGCTGAGCAAACCCCAAGAAAGTGGCCTTGATGTAAAATACTCCCTGGAATCTCTGCGACAGCCAACGACCAGTTTCGGGATTCATCAGTTTTCGCCAACTTTATGTTGTACTTGAACTCGGCAAAAAAGCAGTTGACCATATTTCGGGAGATCACTTGAAAAGGACAACTAAAAGTGGTTCCTTCAGTTATGCCTCAACCGTGCCCATTGCTCGGAAGCGACTGGGAACACTACCTGAGGCTTTTAATGTCGGACGTTGGTAGCACAAGGATGGTTCTGTTTTCCTATGATAAGGGGCATTCTATTACGCTTCTGTGGGTCCCATTTGGAGGGGTGCCGTAGAGATGAACAAGTGTGTTTCCATTGCAAACAAATCTATCCAGGTACAGAAGAATTCGGTGTGACGGGTTCTACTATAGTGATATTCCATTCCCGTGAAGTACCAACAGTTTTAGGCAAAGCAGGGCTGGGACAAAGCTAAATGAGTGTGCAGTTTTCTAGCTGAAAGAACCAGTTCACCTAAGAAACAATCTTCATAGAACGGTTCCCACGATCGTCACCCTGGAGCAAAGTAGTTCACGATACTCTTGCATAGAAAAGCCATAAAACACTAAATTCAATTGAGTCTCCCGTGAAAACCAAATTGATTTGCAGATGAGTGTATTTCTCGAAAACAGTCCAATTTGGGTTCAAGTAGAACATAAGGTTGACGGAAACTCAGGGACTGCGCCTACCTAATGAGCCCCAAGAAGGGCGACACCGGTCATGGGCAGTCGAAGAATTTTCAGCAACCTTGTAAGTAGTTTACTCTATGAAAACGCTGGACCATATTCAGTCGACATTAAATGAAGGCAAATAACGTGGTCACAACGAGTTAGAATGCACGGTATATTAAGTCTGGAAAGTCTTCGTCGTTTTTGTAAAAGCGCCGGTTTGCGCAACCCAAACGTCTCATTCTGCACCCGCTGAAACACCAAAAAAACAAAAGATCATTTGGTGGCACCTTTCATCATTGCGTACATCAAAACGCCCTGTTGTGTCCACATTCTCACGAATTCAGTTAAATGCGACTAGCAAACCGTGGCGAGACGCGCTGAAACTCGTTCGAGCGATCGTTCTATCGATCGCATAACGGCGACGCAGCAAGACAGTGCCTGATGGGTCGCCCACTGCGCTGATTAGACGAATGATGAGACAAGAAAAATTGAGGAGGCAACGACCGTAGCTCACACGTAACGCGACACTGCAACTGGAAAAAGCTCCCGCCCCCGTGTAACAAACTTCTTCTGGCACCTGGCGACCAAGAGGGGATAGTGATACTGTACAGTAGTGCGCGTATTGGTGGTCCGGTTTCCACAATAATAAAGTTGCGCGTTGGTTCAGTACTACTAGCGATGCGATGCGGTCAACAACAGAAAGACGAGTTCAGGAACTTTGGGCGAAGTACTAAAACACTGGCATAGCAGACGAAACAGGCGATGCACTCCTACGAACGAACGTTTTGCATGTGAGATTCCCCACGAAATTGGAACTAAGGAAAACTCCACCCACCAATATGCACTGCGACATCGTGGAGCAAGCTGAGTCCGAATTTTTGTTGGTCTACATCATTTGCAGTAATGGCGATGAGAAAAATCTGGGAAGTTTACATTTCAGACCTCGTAAACACACGTTTTGTCCTGTTATCTGGCACACCTCATTACATCGGAACAGCAAGCCTTTCCCAATTGGGTTTCGATCATATTAAAATCACATTGTTACGCGTATGCTCGCATCGAATATAAGGTTAAATTAGTTGGTTGAGCATGTATTATGGCACAAAAGCTATCGGGCCATTATTCCCGCGTGTAACTGAAGGCATTGTCCCGAGTGTCCAGTTTCAGAACCGAAAAATTCCACAGCTGGTACAGTTGAGTGCATGTCTGAATGGAGCATTCAAAAATCGATGGATCAAGAGGTAAAGGTACTTGGTCTGGCCGAAATCGGACCCCATGTACCATTTCCGTTAAGAAACCTAAAGCAGTGTGAACGAGCAAGAAAAAATCATCCAAACGTGCTCCGCATAGAAAATCAGGGCTAGTCATCCTGGGCGTATGCTCTTGTAAAGTAGAGTTCTGAGAAGCATTTGGAATGGGCGTATGACTAAGATTACGCAAATACCAACATCATGTACCGTACAATCGAACTGTGCCCTTTTTACTACGGGTTCTGGAACAGTGTGTCTAGAGTGAATGTTTTAGGAGGCCAGGATATCCTCACTGTCCATTCATCTCAAGTGCCACACAAATAGGAGGGGGGAAATGAGTGAAATGTCGTCTGATCAGCTGTAACACCTTTTCGGGGCCTTGATGCCGAGCCAACTGATGGACGCCCGAGGGCTAAGATACTGCCAGGTTGCCCAAGCCTAAAAAGGAGTAGTCGAGATGCTGAGGTTGGATTCAACCCACTGACCTTTCGGTCGGTAAGTTGGCGCCTTAATCACTGGTTCTTTGAATCAACCATCACCCGAAATAACTCGGGAAAGTCAGTAAAAAAATTTGAGACAAACTTAGAGAAGGGAACTTTTTCACTCANCTCTAAACAAAAAGTGTTCCTCGGTTGAAAGTAAGCATCCCGCTAGCTGTTGTGCAAGCAGTTAATTACCAACTAATAAACCGCTCCACTGTTACAATGATTGACCATAGGGAAACGCCAGAGAAGCATCTGGTTTTGCTGCCAAAATAACACCATGAATTTAGCCAGATTGATACCGAGTTTTGCGAAAGCTGTCAGTCAGATGGAAAACTGCCTCCTCTCTACATATTAAAAGCCAATTTCAAAAGGCTCGTTATTTCTCTGAACCATCCCAATGCAACGAGTGGACCTGCATACCAGGGAAATTTTCAAATTCGGAACTTCCTTGCTAGGTCATGCTTCGTCACTGTCCGCAACTACCAGTCCAGTGCCAGATGAATCAGCTTGTTGTGGACAGTAGAGGAGGGGGTTAATAGCTTCTTCAAGTTCCAGTGTCGAATGAGGTATCAGCTACAGCCGGTATCGCGTTAATTTGTTTTGACAGATCGTGATTCTTGTGTCTTATCATCCAGCTAACTAGCACAACGGGCGAGACCATCGGGCAGTCTGGCTGTGCGGCGGTCATGCGATCCAGAGAACACTTATCATCGCTCGGTTGGGTTTCAGCGGATCTCACCACAATGGGCTCATTGCATTTAGCTGACATCGCACCTGGACTAGTGTTTCAGCGTATGCAATGAATCAGGATGCCACTAACTAACCTTGTGATGTCGGGGTTATTTAGCGCAGCAGCTAGGTTACAAAGACGACATAGACTTTCTGAACTAACGGTTGTTTGCAACTGACGAGGAAGGTGAGAACGAAAACAGTTTGACACTTCAGCAGCCAATCGTACTAAGAGTGGGTAACAATACGGGTGGCTCGGAACATTTACAGACGAATTTTTAGGAAACTCACTTTTCTTTGAAATCTTTGATAACGCGATTTATGAAGAATTGAGCGGCTTCTTGCATGTTTTGGATGTACGGAGCAGGTGCGGGTGTCTGTGGGATTCTTTTTTGCAAAAACAAAAGCACATGCTTACCACACTGACCCAACCTAAAGCGAGTATGGATTCAGCGACCGCAGAAAGGTGGTTGAAATATTGACTGCTCCGCTTTTTATCCTTATATTGCTGAAAACAATGGAGGAGCTATGTGTAAAACAGGAAAGACTTACCACCACGGCGGCGACTGGCTCGCCACACTGTCTCAATAATCCCTCAAGATGTGATTCTGACGGCTTGCCATGCTGAGCAGCATTTTCAATTATTTGTCGCTGGCAGACGAAGCATTTTTGAACCAGATCACTCTAAATAAAGATAGATGAGAGGAAGAGCAAAGGATACCTGTTCCTTCACGTCACCGCCAATCTTTTTGCTCAGAGTCAGGAATTCAGCAAGTGGGCCAGAAATTAAGTCATCGTACTCCTTCAAAGAGTTGTTGCTTTTGGGGTTCCCTAGATACACTGAAGGAGAATCTGACAGTACTCACCTTTAGAAGAAAACTGAGTGCTTGTTTGTGGACAGCGGTTCATTCCGGTATCCTGAGAGCTCTCCAAACACAAGACGACCTTTTCAAGCCGATCTAAAAGTGACTCAAGCTTATCCATACCTACAACCGTATGAAACCTCTGGTAATCAGTCGGATGAAATAAGCTGGACTCTCACAAACGGACTTTTGGGCTTTTATATCTGAGTATTTAGATTCCGATTATAGTTTTGTCGAACTCAAGGAGTACGGCGCCGACACTTCACTATATGTTGAAGTTACGAATGTTTTACATGAATTATTTGTTATATGGAGACGATTAGTTCTTAGAGCACAGTGTTAGTGAGCTTGTGCGAAGATGCCAACAGCGTGAGCAAAGTATTTGAGTGAAGGCGTTTGTTAAGTTAGGAAAAACCAAGGATCACAAACGTTGGCATGCCAAATACATTCCAACTTGAGGTTTGCAGTCAAATGTTTTACGATGATCAGTACGAACACGGGGTAGTGAGAATTCAAAAACGATTATAATTGATGGAGGACTCGAGTTCGATCAGTTGATCTTTGTGAATGCAAACTGGACCATTTCGATCTTGATAACAGCTCTACTTGGAAACTCCCCTTGCTAAGCCAAAAATTACTCGCTTTTGTACCCCAATCTGCTGACTTCCTCCGTAAGCGGGGTGTGTGCATCCTGGAAAGCGCTAGAGAGAGGCAGCAAACAAGTGGATGATCGGGGTTTACTCGGGTGGTCCAGAAGGAGCAACAGGCAGTGGCTGATCCTTACCACTGACGGTGACAGTGATCAATTTGGCTTTGGAGCTAGTTCGTAGGCACCATAATGTGGTCAAACGATCTGCATTATTTCGGAAGTTAGCAATGCGAAGCAACAGTGTGAAGCGAGAACAGAACTGCAACAGGTATCTTCCATCATTCGTCCCTCAACTAATACCGTCAGCAATTAGGACTCCGACAACTGTACGTTCAACTGCTTCTGTCGTCACACCATCGGTAACCACAACCTCTGGACACTAGGCCCGATGTAAAAGACCACATAAGTTATTAAGTTGTCTTTTGCAGATTCGGGGATACAATCTTTTAAGGCAAACGAGCTGTGCAGAAGCGACTAACCACAAGGACAAGTCGACCACGGGTGCTTATGCTTGATGGTTTAGCAAAATTATGACTACAATACATCCCGTCACAATGACTTGTCACAAGGCCGAAACCATACAAACGGCGAGATAATAATCTCGTTTACAACACTTGTGTTATCCAGCGTTCTTTCCAAGGGAAAGCGCGAGGTGACGGAGAGGGGATCCCGGGTTTAGGGTTTGGTAGATTCTGTACTCTTGGTTGGCAGTGCGTCTTATGATCACGATAACATTCACTATCTGTGCAGGGGACTGGACATGACCATGGTTGATGTACAAGTTGTGATTTTGAACAGCCGTCCCTCAGTAGAACAAGGCATGTTATTTTCACTGTGATGATACAGATTATGATTGTTCAGGTTTTACGGATCTCGTGGCCCAGTGAGCGAACGTTGGAGTTATTTCTATTCCACATTCATTAGAGGCTGGGAGTGTCTCCCATGACCATATGAATATCGAACGTCGTGACCTGACACTATTTGAGGAGGTGGACTCAGTTGATAGCTTCCCCTAGACCCTTACACGTCCACAGGAGTTGGCGCACAGCCGGGAATTTATGGAGGACACCTCTGCTCCACATATACTGTCATAGATCCTCAAGAACCAACAGAGTCAAAGGGGCCATTCATGTCAAGTGAGACTCCCATCGTAGGTTGGTGGGAGTGCCGCTGCTCCAGAATATGTCTGGGGGTGATCTGAATAGGTGAACTGATCACACTGCTTAGGTTGCGCTGGCTTGAACACGTGCTCAGTGTGCCAGTCGATCGACTTCGGCGAAGGGTTCTTTTCGCAGGACCACACGAAAGGTGGGAACGAGCCAGGGGAGGTCAAACACTTGGCAACGAAGTTTGAAAGCCAGTACCAGCAAACGCAGCTGCGCCGGTCATTGCTGTCTCTCTGGATGGGGGCCCCGAAACGTGACACATCAATGGTTAGAGACACTGTCAAACAAGACCCAATCGCACCCTCAAGGAAGCTGGTGCATCCAAGCCATTGCCGTCCGATCCTGATGCCTCTTCAAGTTCCAAAAGGAATATTCATTCTCCTTATTCTGATAAGCGACCCAATTTACAGTCCATCTGCTCACATGCACTGTCTCCAGGCGCTGTCTTGCAGGAGTTCAGCTAAGCTGTTCCACAAAGTGTTCGACCCGATTTCCCAGTTGGCGTTTGTGCGCAAAGAAAATAATCCATTGGGTTCCAAACCAGCAAAGCGCGTTCAGCTCTCAGCCTGAGTGCATGGCAGCTAGGCACCGAATGGGCTCTACAGCTGAACGATAATAATTAATTATACGCCACACATTCCACGTGTTATTACTTCTGGATCACCAGACACACGGACGGTGAAATTTATAAAAGGTGAGTTCGCACTTGTCGTTTAACATGCATGACCACGCTTGGGTGTTGTATGAGTGTTCTAGAGAAACATGATTAACCGATTTTGCCGGAGTGCAAGGTCTGGGCAACCTAGAATAGATTACGGACTGCGGAGCGTATAAGGCGCATCGGCATATAACTAAGAGCCAACTGTTCCGGTGATATTTACTTGTGGGTGGAGGATGGGGTGGAAAGGGGCATCAATCGACAGTGGTCGATAATGGTGCCCGTTCCCAAAAAAGGTACTCTCAGGGAATTAGTAGCAACCAAGGTGTTAGTTTGACTCCCGTTGTAACAAGGCTTCTAGAATCACCGACTCTTGGTCGTCTTACGACGGCACACGAATCCTTGACCTGTGAACACCAAGCGGGTGTTCGACCGGATAGAAGATGCGTCGAACACATCTCCCAACTCCTCCAGGTGTTGGAGAAACGCCACATGTCCAGAGGACCCCTAATATTGGTGATCCTTGACTTCAAGGGTGTCTTCAAAACTGTCGATCGGTCAGTGGTGTCAACTGCACTTGCTTAAAAGGGTATGCCTCAGAAGTTTGTGAACATAATCCGCTTCCTATATTCACATACCTTTGGGTGTGAGTGTATCATGAGCTCCCAAAAAGCTTACCTACAGAAAGTGTGTGGGATATCTACTCTCTTCGTCCTTGTCCAACTTCATCATCGATGGAATAATGAATCAAAGGCTGGAAGGTCCTCAAAACCCTGTGGCTCAAATCGTTGCTGGTGAGAACCTTATCGACCTGGAATACGCAGGCAATTCCGTCCTCATTTCTGAAGTCGATAGCAGAGTACATCATCAACATCATTGACGGCATGACCTCGCCGTTCGACGCTGATGCTTCACTGCCATACAACCATAATTGAAAGCACTATAATGAAGAGAGGCATAAAAATGGGCAGGGAACGGACTTAGTGCTGATCTGTCACAATGATCACGAGGCGCCTACACATCCACACTCATTCGGGCAATCTGAATAAAAATTGACAACAAAAACAACATTGACATAGATCAGCAGCCATTGTCTTGCACGCCTCCAATCAGGTGCAGTGGGAGTCACTCGGTCCCCGTCCTGGTCGTCCACCAAAAACACCCAAACTTTTCGCAGCCTCTTTCATACTTCCCCAGCCAGATCAGGGGTTGGCCACCTCTCTTCTCCCGCCACTCTGAATTGGGAACAGAAAACAACGCTCTCTTAGGCACACGCAATACACGGCCTAACCGACACAGCTTCATGTGCTGGACACATTTTTCAATGGAAGTACCCGTTGCACAACTGAAAACTCGCTTTCTAATTTCTTCGTTAGGGATTCACCGACGCCAACCCAAATGATCTATGGTTCTGAGACAACGGCTATCGAAGACCTGAAAAGGTTTTAGTTTCGCTGCTCAAACAGACTAAGTCTCACAGCCATACAGACTAGGACTAAGATAGCTCAGTGGTTAGAGCGCGAATTTACTGACCGGAAGGTATGTGGTTCGAATCCGAACTCTGCCTTTCGACTTCACTTGCCTAGGTTTGGGCAAGCTGGCAGTATCCCAGCCCTCATGCTTACTTCTGATGGTATGGCAGTTAGGCACCAAAAGGGTACTACGGCTGAACAGCTGTTCGTCAAACCTCTAACCACTGACCAACCTGGTATGAGGCTGTGCGAGTGTCACGCAGACATCCCTGAGTATAGCTCATTAAGTCGTGGAGGTACACACCGCCACACGTTAAGGTCCAGTCTCTTAGTGACGGAAGGCGACGCTGAAGAGACTGACCACCGTCACTATCTTTCGGCATGCGCTTTGCGCCTTAAACATGCAAAGTCATGTTTCAAAGCATGCAGTCTCTGAGCATATCCCTTACGATTCAAGGACAATCACTGATGGTTGTGGAGAATCTTACATACCTCGGTAGTTGTATTTCCTCTGAAGCAAGTGTGTCTGATGAATTCGGTGCACGAATATTAAAGGCCAGAATCACGTTTGCTAATTTGCGTCACTTGTGGCGTCAAAAAAGGCCTACCATCGGGTCTCAGGTGTCACGTGTACAGGCCTACAAAAAGGGCTACACTGTTTCATGGTTGAGAAACATAACCTCTTCGGACAGACGATGTGATATATTTCAGGTTTTTGATCACCGAGGCCTCAAAAGCGTTGTTGGTGTATGATAGGGACTTGCGACGAAGGAATTGGAAAAACGGGTATTCGATTGCGCTGTAGGTATTTCAGTTGCAGTGCGTAGGCGCTCGAAGGAGTTAAGAGGGTTTAATTTCTGCCAGGGTGCCCAAGTCTAGCCGAAGTGCGGAGGTTTCGTTCGAACATGGACTTCTTCGGATGTGTTGAAAATAGCTGCTTTCTAGCCAGCACAAACTTTCGGCCAGAGCGCTTACACCGCACTGCTCTTGTGGGTCGAACATATAGAACATATGGAAAAAGTGAAAAATGCTGGAAATGTCCATAGATCATTAGAGTTGATTCGTTCGACGGGTCCTCGGAGGCCTCTTGTCAGTGGAACCATCGAACAATATGCAGAAAAGTATGTCAGAGCCGGTGGGCACAATATTTCAAACAAAAATTCAGTTGCTCAACCGCTACTTACAATTCAGACTGCCGGCATTTGACAGAGACATGAATTATGAATATGGAGTCCTCTTCAGTCTCAGTTGTGTCAAAATGTCGGGGAATCGAAGACTCCCGTTTGTTCCGTTTCCAAGCTGAGCCGTATGTTGGCGTACCGAAAGCTTAGTAGCTCGAAAGTGCTTTCCGCTTCCTCAAGTAACCCCTTGATGACTAGATCGACGTCCACACAGCGCTTATAAACACTTTACGGGAGAATCACATCTTCGACTATATTCAGGGCATTTTATACGAAAATATAGGCTAATGCAAGACCTAACGGACTTCCCACTACAACGAACCAACAATTACAACCTAAGCTGGTGGGTTGGATGGGCTATGAGACCTGTGAGGTGGACGAACCTCTAACAAGCGCAAAGTATGAAGCGAAACTAGGTTGCCCATTGAGGGGAGTTCATTTTTTTCAAAAAGCGCCTGTGAGGTAAATTGGTATTAATAGCCGGTATTTCCACCACATGCAACTAATGCACCTGGGAGTGCAGACAGGCCCCGTTTCCGTTATAAGGCAGCAAGGATCGAATTGCCACGATGTATAGTGGGTCACTGCCAGATAAACTGATGATAAGCCGATGCCCAAATGGCAATGCTGGTTGTCCTGGTCTTTTCGATTTAAGGATCGATCTCATGTCGAACCCTGTGTCGGGACCCAAAAGTTTCCACGTAAATAAGTCTACCTAATGCGGAGGCGATATGGTTAAAATGGTCAGAATGCGAATCTGCTGACCGGAAGGTCCGTGGTTCGAACCCGACCTCTAACTCTCGACTTCCCCTGTCTAAGCTTGGGCAACCTGGCTGTATCCCAGCCATCGTGCTTCCTTTGGGTAGCATCGCAGTTAGGCACCGAAAGGGTGTTACAGCTGAGCGATTTTTCTCTACCTAATACATCTGTTGGCTGCCTGCTACCATAAGAAGAAGACTTTTGGCTCGAAATGAACTCACTCTAGATGAAGCACATGAAGTAAAGGCCACTGGTAGTGACCCAAACACCCCAAACCGATATCGTATTCTGCGGCTGCAGCACCTTTGC